AAATATAATATAAGAAATGTATCTCATATAACAATGAGTGACAGCGAAGAGATCAGTCAGCGTACAGTTGTGTCTTCAGCCCATACAGGTGTGTATATGAGCAGCAGGATAGTGAATCTCTAAAATAGACTGAGAAACAGGAGCTCCTGTTGTTCATAATCCTCTGCTGGCGGCTCCGGTCTCCAACAATACCAGCACATCCAGTCCTGGATTAACACCCGAACACTGTGAGGAAAGTGGTGGAGAGAGAGACACGTCAGTCCCTCAGTTAATACAACACTACCCTAACAATACATGTAAGAATACTAGAGTGAAGTATAGAGTTTGTGTTCCATACTGTGACATTTATACTATATATTATTAAAAACTGAATAGTCCAGCATAGTGAACTGATAAATTAACAAGCCTAATTTAGCCTTTACTGCAGTAAACTAAAGTGTATTGTAGTTTAACATACCCAACTTCCTCAGGATAAAATAAAATACCCTGCAGTAGTTGGGCCTTTGTTTATATTACTGTAGCTGTTACCATAGCAACTGTATGATTAGTACAACAGATTAATTACGTTAGTTGTTGTGTTACCATAGCAACTGTAGAATTACTACAACAGATTAATTCCTATAGTTGTTGTGTTACCATAGCAACTGTAGAATTACTACAACAGATTAATTCCTATAGTTGTTGTGTTACCATAGCAACTGTAGAATTACTACAACAGATTAATTACGTTAGTTGTTGTGTTACCATAGCAACTGTAGAATTACTACAACAGATTAATTCCTAAAGTTGTTGTGTTACCATAGCAACTGTAGAATTACTACAACAGATTAATTCCTATAGTTGTTGTGTTACCATAGCAACTGTAGAATTACTACAACAGATTAATTCCTATAGTTGTTGTGTTACCATAGCAACTGTAGAATTACTACAACAAATTAATTCCTATAGTTGTTGTGTTACCATAGCAACTGTATAATTAATACAACAGATTAATTGCGTTAGTTGTTGTGTTACCATAGCAACTGTGGAATTACTACAACAGATTAATTACGTTAGTTGTTGTGTTACCATAGCAACTGTATAATTAATACAACAGATTAATTGCGTGAGTTGTTGTGTTACCATAGCAACTGTAGAATTACTACAACAGATTAATTACGTTAGTTGTTGTGTTACTATAGCAACTGTATAATTAATACAACAGATTAATTGCGTGAGTTGTTGTGTTACCATAGCAACTGTAGAATTACTACAACAGATTAATTACGTTAGTTGTTGTTTTACCATAGCAACTGTATAATAACCACAACAGATTAATTGTTGTGGTGTATATTTCATGTATATTGTGTAGGTGTATGTATGTATGCATGTACGGTGCATGCATGCATATGTGAGGACTATTGTGTGCGTGATTGTGTGGATATATGCATTTATGTGTGTACATATATGTGATTATCCGAGTATATATTTGTTGTTTATTATGCTTTATTTGTCTATACATTTTTATGTGGTTTATTTTAATACTTGCTTGCTGTTTGTGAAGTGCTTTGAGTTGCATGTTTGTAGGAAAAGTGCTATTCAAATAAAATTACTTATTTAAAATATTTTATTATTATTATTATTATTATTATTATTATTATTATTATTATTATTATTATTATTATTATTATTATTATTATTATAATTACCATAGTTGTTAAGTAACCATAGCAACTGTAGAATAATCACAACAGATCAATAACGTTAGTTGTTGAGTTACCATAGAAACTGTAGAATCACCACAACAGATTAATTACAATAATTACTATATTAATTACTATAGCTGTTGTGTTACCATAGCAACTGTAGAAATACCACAAGATATTAATTACTATATTTGTTGTGTTACCAAAGCAGCTGTAGAATTACCACAACAGATTAATTACGTTAGTTGTTGAATTACAATAGCAACTGTAGAATTACTAAAACAGATTAATTTCTATAGTTGTTGTGTTACCATAGCAACTGTAGAATAATCACAACAGATCATTTATGTTAGTTGTTGAGTTACCATAAAAACTGTAGAATCCCCACAACAGATTAATTACTATAATTACTATATTAATTACTATACTTGTTGTGTTACCATAGCAACTATTGAAATACCACAACATAATAATTAACTATATTTGTTGTGTTACCATAGCAACTGTAGAATTACCACAACAGATTATTTACCGTAGTTGTTGTGTTACCATAGTTACTATATAATAACCACAACAGATTTATCACTATAGTTGGTGTGTTACCATAACAACTATAAAACAGATGAATTCACATACATTATTGTATGTTTGGAAAAATAATTTATTATTTACTACAAGAATTTTAAATAACATTTGGATTCTTTTATCCGCACTTTCACTTGAGAAACCAAATGACAATGGAATTCTGGTGACAAAAAAAGAATATAACTTTTATGCTTAATGCAAGGGGTGAAATGACAAAGTGCTAAAAGCTAACTTAAAGAGACATTTCACCCAGAATTGTACATTTAGTCAGCATTGAATAGTTCCACACCTTTATGAGATTTTCTTTTTGTTGCAGAGAATTTGAAGAATGTTGGAAACTGGTAACCATTCACTTCTATAGTAGCAAAAATACCTACGGAAATCAATGGTTTCCAGCTTCTAACATTCTTCACAATATCTTCTTTTCTGTTCAACAGAAGAAAGAAAGGTTTAAAACAAGTGGTGGGTGATTTTCCGAATTTTCATTTTTAGGTGAACTGTTCCTTAATTAAAAGTCAAAACAGGAATATGAATCCCTAAACCCACTTAATTTTGGTGGCGCAGTGGGTAGTGCTGTCACCTCAAAGTAAGAAGGTGGCTGGTTTGAGCCTCGGCTGGGTCAGTTGGTATTTTTGTGTGGAGTTTGCATGTTCTCCCCGTGTTGGCGTGGGTTTCCTCCGGGTGCTCCGGTTTCCCACACAGTCCAAACACATGCATGCGCTATAGGAGAATTGATTAACTAAATTGGTTGTACTGTATGTGTGTGTGTGTGTGTGAGTGTGTGAGTGTGTGAGTGTGTGTGTGTGTGTGTGTGTGTGTGTGTGTGTGTGTGTGTGTGTGTGTGTGTGTGAGTGTGTGTGTGTGAGTGTGTGAGTGTGTGTGTGTGTGTGTGTGTGTATGGATGTTTTCCAGTGATGGGTTGCAGCTGGAGGGGCATCCGCTGCATAAAACACATTCTAAGTTGGCGGTTCATTCCGCTGTGGCGACCCCAGATTAATAAAGGGAATAAGCCAAAAAGAAAATGAATGAATAAAGTTATTATCTTTAGCTATTCTGCTTCCCAAAAATTTATCTTGAATTGTGAATGCTGAGTTATTTGTATTTTAAAATTTACATTTATTCTTTTAGCAGATGCTTCAATCCAAAACCACTTACAAGTAAGAATAAAAGGATAAAATAAATCATCAGTTAATTATATTTATATTATATTAAAAACAATGATCTAACAACAATTTAATTTAAACAATCTTTACTTTTTTATTTATTTACACTTTTACTTTATTTTAATTGTTTTTGTGACTATAATACTTTTTTTGTGTGTGTGTGTGAAGTGTGCTGTAATGTTTCCATGCGCAGTAGGTCCTGTCAGTGCTGTTAATGACAGCAGGATCAGACAGGGCTGCTCATTGTCTCAGCCGCTGCATTAAGACTGTATTATATTACATGCGGCACACAGAAATAACAGCGCAGGCTTTGACTTTATCCCAGCAGAAAATACTGACACCTGTTTCTGAAAGTCACTCAGAAAACATCCGCACAAACCCAGTAGCCGGTTCTAAACATTTATTTCTGAATATGTTGAAGAAAGAATATTAAGATGTATATAACCTCATATTAACCTCATGTTCGAGCGTGCGGGGTTGAAGTCTAGAAGGGATACAGCTGCGGATACTCACATCATTCATTTTCTTTTCAGCTTAGTCCCTTTATTAGTTTAAAACAATTAGTCCCATTAGTACGGTGGCCGGGAAGTGCAAAACAACATTACAAAGTGTGAAACACTTTTACAAAGCTCGAGACAAATTCACATTTTGAAAAACATTTTTACTTATCATCAGACACAATTACAGAGGAAAAACAATTTTACCAACGACAAAACAAATTTACATTTTAGAAAAAAATTAACAAGATGCAAAACACTTTTACAAGGGAATCTGTAATCGTAAATTTGTTTCAGGATTTGTAAAAGTGTTTTGCGTCTTGTTAATATCTTTAGACTTTAAACTTAAAACAACAACATGCGAACTCCACACAGAAATGCCAACTGACCTAGCCGAGGCTTGAACCAGTGACTTTCTTGCTGTGAGGCGAACGTGCTACCCACTGCGCCACCATGGAGCGGTTTAGGATTTTACAGGGTTCTGGAATTTGTTAAAGGGATTTAATTTTACACTAAAAAACTCGATGTAATCCAACGATAGGTCAAATATAGACAAACCAAGACTAAAAAATGCCTGGAAAGTTTCTGGCGTGGTTTTCCCCCACAGTCCAAACACCATACATTCCTCCATACTCTTCTCTTCCCATCCCTCTGGTACAAGTTGATCTTGACCCCATCTGTTCATGGGATGTTGTTCCAGCACTGTGAAGGCTATTTTAGATCTCTAATCTGACCTTCCTGTTTTTGAGGCTCACCAATGGTTTACATCTTGTGGTGACCCCTCTGTGTTCACTCTGGTGTGGTCTTCTCTTGATTGTTGACTCTGACACACACACATACACACACACACACACACACTCACACACTCACACACTCACACACACACACACACACACACACACACACACACACACACACACACACACACACACACACACACACACACACACAATTATATATTTATTTATTTAATTATTTATTTATTTATTTATATATTCATTCATTGTGATTGTTCAATCATAGTTCAAATTTCAAATATTTTTACACATTAAAATAATTTCCACTCAACTCAAAATTTCATGTCCATTTATTTACCTATTACAATATTTTGCAAGTACATTTCAACAAGTAATATGACAAGGTGCAAATAGGATATCATATATTAAAAAAACTTGCAGTACGTATATCAACTGTCAAGCCTGTCAATCACGGGTGAGTGGGCGTGACCATGCGGAGCGATGTGCTGTGATTGGCTGAGAACTGAAGACTCTACTCCTGGTCTTTCTCCTCTCCGTGAGTGATGATGTGCACCAGATTCTTGTAGTCCAAGTTTCCTGCAGCATCTGGAGGGAAAGCACTGAACATCTGCTCCATCTGAACACACATGCACAGTCAGAGTCACCGCATTATCAAAACACCAGCACATTTACTGTAGAGAGATTAAGCTCACCTCCTCTGGTGAAAACCTGTCCGCCTGTGTGGTCAACATCTCAGTCACACTGCAGAGAAACATGCATGATATCAACATACAAACACACAGAAACCACCCAACATCTCATAAATAGCATTGTGCACAGGTGAGTGGGCTTGACAAACCACCTGTAGAAACCACTTTCATTTAAAGAAACCTTCCCTCCCTCCTCTGGCATCAATTCTGTCAGCCTCTTCTTGTTGAATCTCTGAATGCCTCCTTAATTGTACGTCACATTGGACAAAAGCATCTACTAAAGGACTGAATGTAAATGTAAATCTTACTATTCCTTCTTCAGGATGCCCTTTCCCTCCGGATCGAACACTTTGAATGCGTTGAGGATGGTTTCCTCAGGATCCGCTCCTGCACACACACAGGTCAGGAATCAGTCAATACCGATAGTCATGCGCTGAGTTTAATAGACAGCATCTGTCTGACTTCTTAAAAACCTGCCTTTGAGCTTTTCTCCAAACATGGTGAGAAACACGGTAAAGTTGATCGGTCCCGACGCCTCCTTCAGCATCTCATCAATCTCCTCCTGTTTCACATTCAGCCGCCCTGAGAAGTGGTGCATCATGGGAAATGAGATGTTTAAACACATACAGTAAGTTGACTGTTACAGATGAAGTCAACATGTCAATTCTTTTCTTAAACATTCTCCAAATGATGTTGAACAGATTCAGGAAATTTCTCACAGTATTTCCTCTAATATTTGTTCTTCTGGAGAAAGTCTTATTTGTTTTATTTCGGCTAGAATAAAAGCAGTTTTTAATTGTTTTACAGCAATATTATTAGCCCCCTTGAGCAATATTAGCATTGGATTGTCTCCAGAATAAACCACTGTTATACAATGACTTGCCTAATTACCCTAACTTTACCCTAGTGAAGCCTTTAAATGTCACTTTAAGCTAGTAACGCTTGAAATGGTCTGTTAGTTGATGTATTTAGTAACATTAACTAAGTGTGAATAATCTTATACAGCATCTATTAATCATAGTTCAACGTTAACATCAATGCATTATTAAGTTAAGAAAGACTCTTTGTTTTTTATAATAATTTCTTTGGGATTTTCACCTTTATTTCTGATAGGACAGTCGAGAATTGACAGGAAAGCATGAGGAGGGGAAGGATCGGCATAGGACCGCAAGGCAGAATCGAACCCGGGTCTCCGCGAGCACTGGAGTGCATGTGTCGACGCACTAACCACTACACCACTGGCGCCAACAAGAAAGACTCTTAGAAGCGCATATCCTTTTAGCTGATGAACAATATGGTTTTAGGAAAAATAGATCAACATCTCTGGCATTAACAGAAACTATTGAGGAAATTACTAATAAGATAGATAAAAATGAGACGGCAGTTGGAATTTTTATAGATTTAAAGAAGTCATTTGATACAATAAATCATAATATATTGGTAAATAAATTAGAAAGGTATGGTATTAGAGGTGAGGTCTTGGACGGGATAAGCAGTTATTTAAAAAAAAACAGGCAACAGTTTGTGGAAATTGGCAACTGTAAATCATCATATCTAAATGTACCCAACACAATCTCACGGCAATTCGTAACTTTTTCATTTAGTGGCTAATTCGTATGAATTCGTACGATCTAATTTGTACAATTTAGTACGATTTGCTCATCACCCAATGACGGTTGAGTTTAGGGGTGGGGTTAGGTGCCACGCCTCCATATATCTATCTATCTATCTATCTATCTATCTATCTATCTATCTATCTATCTATCTATCTATCTATCTATCTATATATATATATATATATATATATATATATATATATATATATATATATATATATATGCTGTGCTTGTCAGATGTGAAAGACTGGTTGTCTTTGAACTTTCTAGATTCTAATGAAGGTAAGAGTGAAATGATTTTGTTCGGCCAGTCAAACTCTCCCAGAGCACCGATAGTTAATCTTGAAAAATTTAGTTTATGAAGCCCTGGGTAAACAAAATCTGGGTGCTATTCAAAATGATGGCTTGAGCTTTGACAAACAATTTAAAGCAGTGGTCAAATCCTGCTGCTTTTTAGCTTCGACTCTTAAAAATAGTCAAATCTATTTTAAAAACTATGGAAATCAATAATCCATGCTTTTATTACCACTAGACTGGACTATTGTAAAGCCCCGGTCAAATTACACGATTTAGGCAGGGAATCGTAAACGACAAATGGGCGTCGTGACACAAGATTCAATCGTTTCTTCTCGTGTGGCATAGTTCATGACAACCGATACCATGTCTGCGACGCCTCACGACACCGTCACAGCAAGTCTGGCATGTTTAATTTTTCCCCCATCTCCACGACGAGTTTCGTCAAGTGGATGACACTGTCCAATAGGAGCTCATCCTTTCTCAATTATATCAGTGAGTGCTGCTGTTAATGCACTTGTCAGGAAATCAAAAATAGGCTGCATGCATATTTATAACTTTAACTAGGTTACCTTTTCTAAAATAGTAAGGTGTTCATAGCGGAAAGTGTTTTGAAGCTCATTCATTCATTCATTCATTTTCTTGTCGGCTTAGTCCCTTTATTAATCCGGGGTTGCCACAGCGGAATCAACCGCCAATATATCCATCAAGTTTTTACGCAGCGGATGCCCTTCCAGCCGCAACCCATCTCTGGGAAACATCCACACACACATTCACACACACACACTCATACACACTCATACACTAAGGACAATTTAGCCTACCCAATTCACCTGTACCGCTTGTCTTTGGACTGTGGGGGAAACCGGAGCACCCGGAGGAAACCCACGCGAACGCAGGGAGAACATGCAAACTCCACACAGAAACGCCAACTGACCCAGCCGAGGTTCGACCCAGCAACCTTCTTGCTGTGAGGCGACAGCCCTACATACTTTGCACTGCCTCACCCTGTTTTGAAGCGCATGACCTCAAATGTTATTCATTATTCTTGTCTATTGATAAATGATCAACAAAAGATACATAAAAATTAAGTAAATAAAATATAGCAAACGAAATTTGTTTTAAAAAGATGGTTTTTTTTACCAAGAAAAATATACGAATTATATTTTTGTTTGTTTCTCCACTAACTAATTATTTATTGCACCAAAAGTTATTTTAAAAGAACATTAAATGTTTGTAAACTTTTAAACTGTTTAATTTGTGTGTAAACACCTGATGCAAAAAAGCTTATTTAGGCCTGCTAAACGCATCATGACATTTGAAATATATATTTTATCTTTTATCTTTTTTTCCTGCAAGTTGTAAGTAAACGTATAACCTAAAATTACTTAAAAACTTGGAATAAAGTGTTTAATAAATGAAATGCTTCTCTTGGTTTTTAAATCTCTAAATGGCCTGGCACCTTCTAATCTGTCAGACATGTTGATTGAGCATCAGCCTGGTTGGTCTCTTCGGTCATCTAACCAGAGATTGTTATGCATCCCAGTCGAGGCTGAAATGCAGAGGGGACCGTGCCTTCGCAGTAGCTGGTCCTAGGTTGAGGAATGCTCTGCCCCTCTGTATTAGATTTGTTTCATCCCTGTCTGCTTTTAAATGTAGGTTGAAAACTTACCTCTTTGATTCGGCATTTTATCAGTGAAAATTGTCTGTTTTAGCTTTAATTTTATATATTTATTTGTTTTTTCTCTGCTGTGACTTGTAGTGTGCAGCACATTGGTCAACCTATAGTTGTGTTAAATAGTGTTGTATAAACAAAATTGACATTGACAGACAGTTGAAGTCAGAATTATTCGCCCACGTTAAATGTTTTCCCCAATTTCTGTTTAATGGAGAGCAGATTTCTTCAACACATTTCTAAACATAATAGTTTATAATAACGAATAATAACTAATAATAATAATATATAACCACAATAATAACTCATCTCTAATAACTGATTTATTATATCTTTGCCATGATGACAGTAAATAATATTAGACTAGATATTCTTCAAGACACTTCTATACAGCTTAAAGTGACATTTAAAGGCTTCACTAGGGTAATTAGGGTAACTAGGCAGGTTAGGGTAATTAGGCAAGTTATTGTATAATGATGGTTTGTTCTGTAGACAATCGAAAAAAATATATATTGCTTAAAGGGGCTAATAATATTGACCTTAAAACAGGGGCGCCTCCAAGGGGTGGCCAGGGGTGGCCACGGCCACCCCTCGGTAAACTCTGGCCACCCCTGTGGCCACCCCTTTGGCCACCCCAATATAATTTTGCGGTTGACATTATTGATTTAAATGAACTTATAAATTCCCAATATTTAGATAAATAAATAAATACATAAATAAATAAAATGCAGTCACTAAATTATTGTTGGTGTTACTGACGTAGCTCTCCCCCTCTGGTTCAATGCTGGTGAAAGCAAACTGACGCATGCGCGCGGAAAACCATTCCCGCGCGCCTCACGCACTCCTGTGTGAATCCCGGTTGGTTGTTTGCATGCACGCCGACATAATAGGCACCGCTCATGCGCCGTGAAACGGAGTAAAAGCCTTTTGTGCAGAAGTGTCGGCACGCAGCGAGTTTTGAAAGTCGTTTAAAGTTTATATAATATAATGATGATGATGATGATGATGATGATGATGATGATGATGATGTTACTTTCACTAAGCATGCCTTTAAAGCAGAAAGGATGGATAATGAGTCAGGGAGGTAAGACTTCATAACATGATTTCTCAGCCATGATCTGGTCTAAGACCACAGATAATTCTATAATACATTTTTTGTATTCTTTAGAATTGTCAGAATTCATTTTCATGCAAAAGGTTTCTTAAGTGATGTTGGCATATCACTCCAGTTGTTGTTTTCCAGTAATATTTAGGACTGATTTCTGTTGTTTATTTAGAATAATAATTATATATTAATATTAATTGTATTTATTTAGAATAAATATAAATAAATTGTTATATTTATTGAATAACAAATCTAACAATTCAAGAGAGGTGGGGGTGTATAGGGTGGTTCGCCCAGGGTGTCATTTAAACTAGAACCACCACTACCCTCCCCGATCGTCCTTGACAGCACGCACACACCTTCAATAGACAGCAATGGCTATTTAATATTTACCTTAAGCTACAGTATATCAATAGAAGAAGCTGCATTAATAAAATGGTTCAAAAAGCAATATGGATAAATAATATTATTAGGTATAGTGAGTGTGTATAGTAATGCCTTTTGTTCAGTTTGTTCATTTGTTTGGGTAATTAATAAACTCATTATTCTTTCATTCATTTTCTTTTCGGCTTAGTCCCTTTATTAATCCAGGGTCGCCACAGCAGAATGAACCGCCAATTTATCCAGCACATTTTTACACAGCGGATGCCCTTCCAGCTGCAACCCATCACTGGGAATAATAAACTCATTAATCTTCATTAATTTTAGACATGGCATATCTCGTATGATGTACAATAAAGGCACGTAAAAAAAGAAGTCATTTATACAGTATATGAAAAGTGTTTTTAAACTAAACATAGATTTTTATTTGGTTTGCACATGTACTTGCTGAATTATTTCAAAGAATAAATTGCAATATTTCAAATAGAATTAATTAAATGAATAAAACTACATTATTTAATTTACCAGAAACAAAAATATAACATTACACTGAATTCATTATTTTTTTTTGTGTGCCACCCCAAGATTTGGTGCGGCCTCTTCTGGCCACCCCTAAGAAAATTTTCTGGGGGCGCCACTGCCTTAAAATTGTGTTTAAATATTTTTAACTGCTTTTATTCTAGCTGAAATAAAACAAATAAGACTTTCTCCAGAAGAAAAAATATTATCAGACATACAGTGAACATTTCCTTGCTCTGTTAAACATAATTTAGGAAATATTTAAAAAACAACAAAATTCAGAGGGGGGCGAATAATTCTGACAACTGTATAATACAGCCAAAAATGTATCTATTAAACTGAATTTTATAATGTATTTTAATAAGTACAGCTCAGAACAAATGTGTTCTGGTTAATTCTGATATAAATATAGCCTATATATATAATGCAGCCAAAAACGTATGTATAACACTGAATTCTATGATATATTTTAATAAGTACAGCTCAGAATAAATATATTCTTCTAGTCAATATATATATATATATATATATATATATATATATATATATATAAATATAAATATATATATATATATATATATATATATATATATATATATATAATAAAAAAATATATATATATACAGATATATATATATATATATATATATAAAAATATAGAGATATATATACATGTGTGTGCGCGATATATATATTATCTATATATATATATAAAAACACACACACACATATATACAGAGATATATATATATAAA